ATAATAATAATAATAATAATAATAATAATAATAATAATAATAATAATAATAATAATAATAATATGAAATTTCAACAAACGTTTAAAAAAATTTTAGGGCTCATCAGCAGAAACGACAGTAGCTGCAAATGGTAGGAACGCGAATTGGCAGGAGACTGTTGAACTGAGGCTTGATCGTCTTCGAGAAACCAAAAATGACTTCAGCAGTATCGCTGATTCACTTCGAATTACTGTTTACGATCGGGTTTGCTTTACTTTCTAACTTTCCATAATCGAGGTTCCAAGAAAAAAAGCAAAAATTAGTCAATATTTCGAAACAGTGCGGAAAAAATTGACTTCAAAAGCAGTCCACAGTGAAATGATACCGAGTCGTGGATGACAGTGAATGAAAGTAACAAATGAACCAAACTTCTAAAATATTTGTTTGGATATATGGAACAGCTGTGTTCTCCAACTATACAGAATGACAACTTTTTCAATTGTTTTCACCAATCCTGCTTTACCTGGTAGTTAGCCTGTTGGTAGTTCTAGCGTTCGTTTTATATTTATTTATTTGATGATTGGTACTTCTAGTTCATCGCTGATTCACATTTTTGGAACCATCTTTAATGATGTAACTGACAGCTACACCATCGACTTCGATCTTAGGCTCTCAACATCCACAGCACATCAAACATCCGGGTTAGCGAATCTGTCCCATCGCGTCCGATATACTCTCTAATTAAAACTGTCAACCTTAAGTAATGTTGAAAAGTTTAATTTGCACTCCTGCCTTCCCATAACGATTATTTTTGCTGCAGCTGGTCAGCAAGTTAAATGCTGATGACCGGGAGCCGAACTCGGTGCATGAGCAACTCGAAAGGCGCTACCTCGGATCGATTTTTATACCATTCACAACCATTTATTATAATGCTAAAATTGATGGACGCTTACGTCTCCAGACTCCGCTAATTTTGACCTCCTACAGGTATGCATCATTTTGACTGCAAAATAAAAGTTTAATAAGTTTCAATAAAGTGATAATTTTGAAGATATGAGATGAAATAACAGGTAATCAAAAACAAACTTGCCAGCAGGTATTGTTGTTGGTACTTGTAGTAGCAATCCTGTCACTTCTTGAGCACCTAAACTTTAGCAGAGAGCGAATACGGAGGGAGTTAAGACTTTTTGAATAGGAAAATGTTTTATGGCGGACGGAGCTGTTTTTTAAAAATGACACTGCGGTTGGAATCGAATCACTCCTTTTCATATCTGAAAGTGATGTGCGATCCATTACAACACAGGCCCATAATCACTTCCTGGAATCTGTACGTTTGAGGTCCCTACACATACCATTCTATATCTTGCTGCCATATACAGCTAGGCTTTAATTTTTGCCTTGGCGGGACTTCTGCTATACGTCTTGGTAGCTTCAGTTCTTTGTAAAAGTACCCAAATCTCCACTGATGTTACTGAAACAAGTGCTGTAATCAAAGTCGCATTTTCTGCTTATTATTTTGTTTTGTTGCTAACTATGGTGCCTTTTTGTTCCGTTCTTTTTTCGTTATTTTGAGAAAGCTATTAGATGTAATAAACGTTCTTATGATATTCAAGCCTCGACATGCGTACGACAAATGTTTCATTTGGGACAGTACTGACGAAAATTTTAGGATTAGCGATCAACCGGCGTATGTAAAGCTGCTGATAGCGTTTGAGCCAGCAGTTGGTCCACCGCGTATTGAGGCACCAAAGTATACTAATATTGACGAAACCAACGAAGTATGCAGTTCGGCGATACTAGTTGTGAAATAAAAACTGATCATATTTACTTTCTGTCTAGCTGTTAAGTTTTTTCAATTCAACACAATCTACATGCATCAACGTATAATCTCGTTTTTGCCACATTCTCGTGCATGAAGTTCCTACAACATTTCATTCAGTTAAAGAACACTACTCACAATAAAAACTATGTCATTTGCAGGATAGAACTATTCGCCGTTTGTGTTCCAGGCTCCTCTCTTACTTAGTTTGCAAAATGCCATATCGAAACTGATCGTCAAATTTTAAGATTAAACAAGTTATTGTTAGATATATCGACGATGTCTGGAGTGGGAGCAAATCGCTAGAAATCGGTTTCCGGATCGGCGCTTCTTCAGCATCGTACAGTGCGCAGCTGGAAAGCGAATACTAGCTTGTAGGTAAATTTTTTTCATTAAATCTACCATAAAGCGGATTTTTGATTCCATGCGAAAACAATTTTGGTACCGCGAACTGGAAAAGTATTTGAAATAACTGTGCCTGAAAGGAATATCACCGGGTCTCATCGCTGATGCTGGATGACCTTGACCGCCCCGGGGAAATGACAGCGAAGTCTGATCTTAAAAAGATCCAGTTAAGGTTTCTACGAGCAATGAAACCACCGCAAAGTCTAGCAGCTGATAATCAATCACCACAGCAATTGGCACGCATCGCTTGTCGATTGGTTTCCTACATTCCTTTTGTTACACATACAGCTATTTTTCCAGAATTTATCGACTTATGGGCTACTGCTGACCAGGTTAGTAATACACTAAAGACTGTTTTAGAACTGAACTATGAGCACGAAAATGCAGGTTTCTAAATATTGACAATATGTGCTTTTGCATTTGCATAACTAGGCAAACAAAAGTATAAAAATAACACTAGTAGTGGTTTAATGAGTTGTGGAATGACGTATGCTGAGCTCAACAAATAGCTATAAAAGATGGAATTAAATAAAAGTAAAGTAGAAAAAGCATAATTAGAGAAATAATAATATAAATAATAAATAGGAATGGCTTGCTCTAGTAACTCGAAGAAACTTTTTCACTTCCGGTTTTACTTGATATTATAAAGGCAGTGTACGCCAGAAAAAAATATTTCTGCTTCGCGTGCGAGAATGAGAGATAGCAGACGGACGAAGACGAATGCTTGATAGCACCCGTCAAGATCGCCGGCAGGTTGATCAGCGAGCGAAGCAGAATTTGACAAAG